TGTACACGTACGCATACGTACCACACACGTACGTATAACGTATGCACACGTACCATGTACACGTACGCATACGTACCACACACGTACGTATAACGTATGCACACGTACCATACACGTATGCATACGTACCGCACACGTACGTATAACGTATGCATACGTACCACACACGTACGTATAACGTACGCATACGTACCACACACGTACTTATAACGTACGCATATGTACCACACACGTACGTATAATGTACGCATACATACCATACACGTACGTACGGCGTAATCACGTTGCCGCGTCGTCCGTTCACTTTCGCAGATCCACGATCGTCGCCTCGGCGGTCGGATCGACCGTCACGTGCGCGCTCTCCTCGAACAGCGGCGGCTCGGACGGGTGCGGGTGGAAGCCCTGCTCCCTGCAGTTGGCGATGAAGCTCAGGCCGTGGTCGGGCGTCAGCGAGAAGACGCCCGTCTCGCCGTACTTGGGGGCGCAGACGACGGCGACCGCCTCGGGCAGCATCAGCTGGTAGCCGCAGTGCGTGTGCAGGTCGACGCTCGACAGGAAGCTCGTCTGCGTCGGGTGCGTGTGGATCCAGCCGAGCGTGATCAGGTCGTGCCGGTCCTGGCACGCGAAGATGTCCTCCTCGTTCTCGGTCGCGCACGAGTCCGGCGTGCCGCGCTGCTGCGGCACGAGCAGGTGCGTGACGAGAAAGCGGCCGCGCGACAGCCGGCCCGCGAGCACGCCGCACGTCTCTTTATAGATTATCGTTTATAATGTTAGATTATTTATAATTATAGATTTGGAATAGTAAGCGCTAATTATACAGGAAGTTTAATTATAGGTTTGGAGTTATAGATTATCGTTTATAATGTTAGATTATTTATAATTATAGATTTGGAATAGTAAGTGCTAATTAAACAGGTAGTTTAATTATAGATTTGATTATGCGTTACCAACACTCGCGTACCTTAGAGAAGCTTCTAGATCCAGAGCTAACTGCACCTGTAATAATAAGTCTGGCACTCAGGCTTCGCCGTTTGAGGAAACCACGGGGGCCTAAAAAAAAAGCCCCGTCATTAACTCGATAGCGCTGATTTTCTCTAGATGGGGCCGATTTTCTCTAGACGGGGCCGATTTTCTCTAGACGGGGCTGATTTTCTTTTACGATTCTCCGAATCTCGAAATGTGATGGGGTCGGAAAAAAAGCCCCATGGACACCGGAGAAGGGGCTGTTTACGGGGCTTGGCCCGATCGACTCTCGTGAAAAGGCGAAGACTGCTGCCAATCTGTCTTCCATTGTTCGCAGGCTATGGCATTTGTCTGCCTGGCTGCCGCAGCAGCGCAGGGACTCGACGATGCCCCGGGATCCGCCGTCGCAGACTCCGGCCACCGGGTGGCGCTGGAGAGCGCACGCGTCGTCCACCAGGTGGTGGCGGAGGGCGCGCGCGTCGGGCGGCCGCTTCACTTCAGGGCTTACCCACGGCGCGGCCCCATCCACAGGCCAGCGGGCGCGCCGAGGTCACTCCAGGAGTCTGTCGGCCAGCAGGTGGCGCCGGCGGGCACGCCGCGGTCCCTCCAGCCGCTCGGCCAACAGGTGGCGCCGACGGGCGCGCCGCGCTCACTCCAGTCGCTCAGCCAGCAGGTGGCGCCGGCGGGCACGCCGCGGTTCCTCGAGCTGCTCAACCCGCAGGTGGCGCCGGTGACCAACGCGGTCAGAATCCGCGAGCCGGACGACAACGGAGGCGCCACCGCGAGGGAGAAACCAGAATCAGAAACGGAAACAGAAGCCAGATTGGAATCGGAAGCAGAAGTGGAAGCGGACGAGAAATCGGGAACAACATTTGAAGCGGACGAGGAATCGGAAACGAGAGCGGAAGCTGAAGCAGAATCAGAAACAAGAGCAGCATCCGGATCGGAAGAGGAGGAGGTCACGAGTCTCCCACCGACCGGTCGCCGTGGCGATGCCGCGCTGCCGCCGCCGTCTGAGCGACGTCATGCGTGGAAGCCCGCACGGAGCTTCATCCCTCACATGTACCTGCCGTCGATGACGGAGCCGGCTAACGACGTCGTGAGTACGTACCTGTGTGTGCGTGCATGCGTGCGTGCGTGTGTGTGTAAACTGTGTATGTGCGAGCGTGCGTGCGTGTGTCACACCGTCCCCCTGTGTACTACTAACTAATAACTGATAACTAGTATAACTGGTAACCAGTGGCGCCTGCAGATAGAAGCACTGGAAGCACAGTGCTTGCAGTATATTAATTTTGTTCCTAAATCTCTCTCGCAAGACTCACCAGATTGCATCTCCAGACGTCTACCATTCAAAAGTTTTCAAGGGTGGCATGCCCCCAGACCCCCCTACCATGCAGCGCGCCTACGGCGCTTGCTTTTTATTATCACTGTCTGAGGATTTTATCCTTCTGTGCTTCAACTTTCTTAAGACCTGTGGCCGCCAGTGCTGATAACTGATAAACCTCGTAACCGAGTTCGCCTCGATCGTTTTTCAGACATCTCCGTCGCGTGCGACATGCAGCGGGACGCCATGACGGTGACGGTGAGGTTCCAGCGCGACTTCGACGGCCTCCTCTACGCGAAGGGCTACTTCAAGGTCGGCACGTGCCGCCATGCGGCGCCACCGTCGCCGCTACATTAATGGATTCAGTATTATTATCTGTAATGTGTTCTAGATGTATTATTGGTGTATATAATGTACATTTTGTCTATCTGATGAGTAAAAGTGATTGTAAAAGCATAACTTTGTTTCAACATTCTAAATCGATCGTTCCATGACGTATTGTAATTCCTAGCGCAAGGCGTGTTGTAAAGTTAAAGAACAGTAGATTTTATATGTAAACACTATTAGGATTGGTTCGTGTTTGAAAGCCGTTGTAATAGCAGTTCTACTGTTAGTGCCATATGTATACGTAGCCGTTAGAAATAGAAGCTATGTAACTAAGGCAAAGACCTTAGAAAAGCAGTGTTAAAACTGGAATTGTGAAACAACTTGTGCTTTCAATTAAATCTTTTAGTGAAGTATCGTAAAACAAAAACACTTTGTTATTGTTGTTATTTTGTCACAAGTGAACAGTAGACCATGTAGTTTCGGCTCAAAGCCAGTAGCTCACCACGCATGTTATACTGTCAATGGACAATGGACAGGGAAGCCTGATACAGATCACATATCCACCCGTAGCCATTCCTTCGTAATAGTTGTGCGGAGTCCGTATAATTGTGTATTGTATTATGTATTATGTTTATATGTAGATCTTTGTATATAACGTGTTTTACTTGTCGTCATCATCATCATATCCGTTTAACGTCCACGTTCCACATTCTAGCATGTTGGACGTTGCGTGGTGGTTCTTAGAACATTCTTCCACTTAACCCTGTCTAGGGTGTCCTCATCTGTGAGGTTCCACACTCTCAGATCCTCCTTAACAAGCTCTTTCCACGACTTTCTGGGTCTTCCTTTTCTTTGCCATCCATCTACATGGGAGGCTGGTGACTGTGTTTATCCATGAGCTGCTCCGCTGTACATGGCCATACCATCGCAGACGCCTACGTCTAAGGGTGGATTCCAGATCTTCAATCTTAAGCCTCTCACGCAGGATACCGGAGCTGACTCTGTCCTCTGGCTTCACACCACACATCCATCTCAGCATCACACGCTCATTCCTCCCTAGACGCAGCATGTCATTCTTCCAGATTCTTCCTCAAAGGCCAACATTCACTGGCGTACAGCATGGCACTCCTGACACAACTGTTGTAGACTTTACCATGGGTGTGTAGTGACAGATGGCTCATTAAATGTAATACAGGCAGACTATAGCACCCATTGTTATCTGTGATACACATTCGATTGTCAACTTAGAATATAATCTATATCTAGGCTTCAACAGGAATCAAATACTTATCACATTAGCTATCAAATCGCACGGTCTGGGTCACACAGGATGATAGTCTGACAGGAAAGTTTATGTAGAGAACCTTAATGTTCACTACTTCATATAGAGTCATCGTGCGAGACCAACTTGATATTTAAAGAACTGTGCTGCTGCTAGCCAGCACTATTTCGAAAAATTAGTCTATTATCATATAGCACATAGTAAAAAATCAGTTGCCTGCACTAATTGGCATCAGCGGAGTTATCGATATTATATAACATTAAGTGTATATTGATCATATAATGGTGAAAATCGATGGAGTCCATGTCTACAGAAAGCAGCTGAAAAACTGAACCAAAATCGTGACTCATTATTTTTTAGAGCATAAGCTATTATTAGATAATAGCTAGTAGTGCTAATTATGGACGCATTTATGACTATTATAAATGTGACACTACGAAAACGATATCTACCAATAATAATCATGCTAACCAATTTAGAATAATAAATAAAAATTGTAACTATATGATTTGATGATACAAATTATTTTAATATTAGTCGAATGATGTGTTACTTACAATTTTGTCACCATTGTTGCTAACTGTCATCTATCTTTCATTATTTTAACTAATATAATAATTTAGTACAGAAAGGGGAAAAATAATTCAAGATAGTTGGGAACAAACAATAGCCAATGTATATTGACCACTATGAATCGATGATTGGCAATTGATCTATATATAGGTAGATAAAAATAATTAAACATCTACAAATTTTTGGACAAAAATTCCTCACATTTTATGTACGTAACATATGCTCATTTTAATGGGTGCATGGGAGTGCAAACGTGATTAAATTTACATATCCTGCAGTATCACACTCTGCACTTCAAGCAATCATCAACAGTGAGTGCATGCAGTCTGTGATTAACATATAAGGTAACCTTTATTTAAAAATAGAAACATTTGGCATAAAGAAATGTACAGTGACGTCCGTTATCTGAATGCACAACTGTATTCCCTGCAATAATCATGACAAATAAGCCACACCTAACCAGATTTATAACTCATTTCAAATTCGTATTTGTAACATATTTATAGAGAGTACATAATATATATATACACACACACACAGGTATATGGCTGCTCTCACACGTGGCCTCACTGTCAAGTGCACACCCACGTACACAAACACACGTACGTATAACATGCGCATATGTACCATACACGTACGTATAACGTATGCACACGTACCATATACGTACAACGTACGCATACGTACCACACACGTACGTATAACGTATGCACACGTACCATTTAAACAATGACAGTCGAGGGTTTTGGGGTGGGCCGTACCATAGCCAGCACAGATGCCATGGCATTTACAATATACAGCACTAGCCTGACTAGGGATGACCATGACCTTCAACGATGATTTTACATGTATACTTTATAAAAAATGCTGGTGTGCTGCGACAAACAAATATCGCAGCCCGCCACAACTTTTTTCCTGTTTTTACGCACTGCGAAAAAACGGCGATGGACCTGTCTCCCTTTCTTGGATTGCTGGGCTAATGCTGGCTTCCTTTCTTGGATTGCTGGGCTAATGCTGGCTCCCTTTCTTGGATTGCTGGCTCCCTTTCTTGGACTTTCCCAACTTGGGACCTCTGCATTTTACGTTGCAGCTTAATTCACACTTCTCACTACGTCACGTGAAACAGTGAATGCATGGTGATGGTTGATTCCGCAAAAATCATCAGTGCAAGATACATATCTACATATCTATATGGTTACGTCGATCTGTCATTCTTGACAATTACTCAAGGATACGTATGACTATATACTATATATAGTCGTTAGTTTATTTTCGCACTTACTTTTAATTTCGCGTTGCAGCGCGTCACTGAAAGGACGAGATTTTCTCTCGCTGAAGGACTTTGAAACCGCAGAACTGGAGCAGCTACTGTGGACGGCAAAGGACCTGAAGACTCGAATCAAAGACAACAAGGAGGTATGGATCGAGTAAATCTAATTGTAACCTCGTAAATACTATAGTCTGCAAAGTCCAAGGGACTATATATCAAAGACGGAAAGAGACAAAAAGTTGATCAGATGGATAAGATAGATCAGCGCTGTGGGTTGATTGCAGCAGCAGAAAAAGCCTAAAATTTGCTCAGAGTGTGTATTTTTCGTGTTTGCACACAGTACGTTCTTTTTCCATCGCTGCAATTTGCGCATGCACATTAACATAATGGCGTAATAACCAATTAGCGGATGTAGAATTTACGTAAAAGTAATTGTCATTTTCGTTGCTGGGAGTCTGTAATGATATAAGCGTGTACGTGGTGCCACCTATATTAATGTTATAATATATATAATTCTGTTATATACCCCATGTTACATAAGTGTGAAGTGGGGTCAGAAGGGGGGGCAATGACTGCACTCGATTGCTTTGCACATACACGCATGTATACACACGCACACGCACACTCACACACACACACACACACACACATACGCTGCGGCTTTGATAACCAAGGCAAATATTCACGCCACACTGACGCTTATTTTTGCAGGTCTTTCAGCCGTTGGTCGGCAAAAATCTCGGCATGATATTCGAGAAGCGAAGCACCAGAACTCGACTCTCCACCGAGACAGGTGCGCCTCCTAGCGGTCGGAAAGAAAATTAATTCTACCTGCATTTTACTTTGCCCTCGCGTAAAAAAAGTTGCCACTCCTAATTCACAGGCATTCGCCGGCAGCGTTCGATTTTTGTCGCCGCATTGACGGCAGGTATCGTGATTTCCCTCCTTGCTTGCTCTGGTTGTTGTCCTTACTTGTCATGGTTTCCCTCCTTGCTTGCTCTGGTTGTTGTCCTTAATTTTACTTGTCATGGTTTCCTTCCTTGTCAGCTGTCCCTCCTTACTAGCCGAGGTTGTCCTCCTGTGGTTTGGTCCCTGTCCAGGTGGTCCTAACCCTACCCCAACATAAAAACTATTGCTAAGAAATAAGTTTCTTTGGTAACCCCACTTGAAGGTAATGCGTGCCTTGCTGCCCCTCCAACTTGCAGTGGTGCCTTGAAATTTCCAAGTAAACCCAAAGCAACGCTTTCCTTCCCCTCCAAAAAAACATAATTCGGCTCCCCCTGCCCACCTGCCCCAACACCCACCACGACCCAGCGGTAGCCATTCATAACCGGAGTTTGTTGACGACATCGGTGACGCGTGGCGCCACCTGTCTGACGCGATCGCTCTCTCCGCTGCGCAGGTTTCTCGCTGCTTGGCGGACACGCGGCGTTCCTGACGACCGACGACATCCACCTGGGCGTGAACGAGTCACTCGCAGACACCGCCAAGTATGTACTCGCATAGAGAGAGTGAGAGAGAGAGGGGGGGAGAGAGAGAGAGAGAGAGAGAGAGGGGGGAGGGAGAGAGAGAGAGGG